CAGTTTCTAACGCAGCGAGGAGTACACCTGTCTAAGCCATGAGCCATCAGCTTGCCCAATAGGATGCTGTGGGAGATGGTGTCAAATGCCTTACTGAAGTCCAGGTAGATGACATCCACAGCTCTTCCCTCATTGACTAGGCAGGTCACCTGGTCATAGAAGGAGATCAGGTTGGTCAAACAGGACCCGCCCTTCACGAACCCATGCTGGCTGGGCCTGATTACCTGAATATCCTGCATTTGCCATGTGAGCGCACCCAAGAGGAACCGCTCCATAAGCTTGCCCGGTACCGAGGTCAGGGTGACAGGCCTGTAGTTCCCCAGATCCTCCTCCCAGCCCCTCTGGTACATGGGTGTCACATTGGCAAGCCTCCAGTGTTCTGGGACCTCTCCTGTCAACCAGGATTGCTGATAAATGATGGGGAGTGGCTTGGCAAGTTCATCTGCCAGCTCTCTCAGCATTCTCGTGTATAAAGTGTATCACACATGTATAACATTCACAGCTAGAAAACCACTAGTTTGAGATGTTCAGCATCGAGCTGAACCACCTAAGCTAAAGCAGAAGTTCCTGACAGAGCAGTGGGCTTCTCTTCTCAGAAACGAGCCTCTTCTATGTGCCTACACAGAGCAAAATTATTTGCCAGAGGCAAAAATCCCACAAATTAAACCTGCCTGAATATTATCCCTGATCTGTGCTGCTGACGTTACGACGGGCTCTTTCTATTAGTGTGCTGTTTGAGCCAACTCTCCACTATCCTTTCCTGTAAAAAGGGGGAAATTGCACTCAGAAGCATAGAACCTTGACAAGTAATCATGATTAATTCGCTGTATTCATTTAAGGAGAGAACAAGTGATCTCTTTGCTATAGAATTTGCTGCTTCCATTTTCACCTTTTCTTGTCCAGAATAGTAATTCTGCAAGGAACTGGAACTTGCTCATTGCACTGGCGCACATAGAGGCCTATATAGTTGGTACTGTTCTGCTAATATAGTGTAATCCCAGAGAAAAAGGACAGAAAAAAAATTTCAAACTAAGTGTTCAACTGTATAAAATTATAAGCAAATGAATACCAGAAATGGACAGCATAACTTAATATAACCATGAATGTTCCTGCTGGGTACTCCTGCAATACAAAGTCAAGCACTCAGCATCAAATTTGGGAACACTTGGGCTTACTTAACCTCCCCATGTGGCTCAGGCCCAAGACCATGAAAATCAGTTACTCAATTCAGGTTTGTTTTAACTCAGGAGCAGTCAGCATACGCTTCAGAACCAGACTCCTAAAATACAAAGTTGCTGTTTTTGAACTATAGCTGAAAAAAAAAAAAAATCTCCAGTATTCCTGGAAAAGCAAGTCATCTGATCTATATTAAGACCAAGTGAAAAATGCATGGTTTTTTACACATAGCTCAGCCAGCACTAAATCAGTAGGAAAGAACACTGTTCCTTTGCAGAGTCTGAAAGTTAACCCTTCCTTCTTCCCTTTCACTAGCTGAAAACAGGAAGAATGTCAACAGCAGCTGACACTGCTTACAAAAAAATCTTTTCTCCTAGTATCCTGGTTGGACTTTTTAAGCACAGCTGTAAATCAACAAAATTAAAACTCTATTTCTTCAGCGACAAACAAGCAGCAATGGACAAAGCTTCTTGTAGATGTTTCAGAAAACATTAAAATGTTATGTCATCCTAACAAACTTAAGGTGTTTCGGTGGTTTATTTCCAAATGCTATTTGGAGTTCTATCAAATCTCCAAAGCATTTTATACTTAAAAACAGAGGCTTAATGATCTCAGTGGTTCTGAAGGAATAAACAGCAAACATGCAGATAAAGTGACAGTAAACTATGGTCAGCAAAAGTGAGACAAAGGAAAAGTCAACAGCAATGATATAGTAAATAAGATGCATTAACTAAGAGAGACATACAGTTAATTTCTGACCTATATCTAATATTTCATTGTTCAAAAATTTTCAGCTCAACTTTCACATCACAGTATAATAAAGTTTTAACAAATCAGTATATTTAAAGCCATTATAAAAATTATAATTATGTCACAATTATAAAAAGCTAACTAAATGTTTCCCAATAATGTTAGGCTTTAACTATAATGTTTCAATTAATAGTTACCAACTTACTAAGTCAAATAATCCAGTTGTCTGAATTTCCTATAAAAGAACTAAGCTTTTGACTGGTATTTATTAATTTGAAGTCAACCTGTCTCGCTCCAGCATTTTTTTCACACCACAGAAGAAGATAACACACCTTTGAAGAATCTGAACTTCTCATATATGGTTCGGCACAATGTGCAATACTTCCTTGTAATACTTTTTCTATTCTAGCCACGAGGAAAATGTCAGCATGAGGACATGTGACGGAGAATATTCCCTAGAAATAAAACAAGAGATAAATATAAAAGGAAAATGCACATGCATTTTACATCACATAATAGAAAGCCATCTGAAGCATGCAGAAAACCTCTCTACTTGTATCCAAAATGCTACTAATTCTTTAGGTTACTACTTCTCACCTGCTTTGGATATTGTAACACAGTTTCATGAATGTCTTGAATTCTGTGTAAGCTGTCACCACTGCCATTCATCATTTGTTGAGATGCACTGGATATCATGTGCCTTACTGAGGCGTGGTTCAAATCAACATGGAAATCTGCTGAAATCTTTCGGTTGTTTTTAATATCAAACAGTGATAATGTGACAAAGAAAGGTTCTACCTAGACATTTAAAAAAAAGAATCAAGTGTCATTGCTGTCATCTATATTAGTGTAAAAATGTGTATGAAAGGAAGATGAGCAACACTTTTATAAACACTTACACATGGCCATCGCTCTAGATATTACTGACAAGATGTAAAAGATAGTAAAAGAAAAATTCCACTTTCTACAACACAACAAAAAGATTAGTAGCACAGCTACTTTTCGTAGGATTTAGGCTTTCATTTTGATTAAAAGGAGTAGGAAAAAACCCACAATACAAGTTTCCCAATCACAGCAAGGAATTCCTGCCTTTAAGAATAGTGTCAGCAAAGTATTAAGACATTAATTATTATATTAACAGAAAATAATTAGGTTAATTATTTACATTTGTTGTGGGTCCTTCTTCATTTTCTGCAACGCAGCTTTGCAAATTAAAAGACAAATCATTACACTTCACAAGAATTTTTTTTCCAAATTTCTCTTCAAATGGCTTCACTTCTGGTTCAATACCAGAAAAGTCAAGTTTCTTTAAAAAGAGAAAAGAAAAATTAAGGTAAGTTGGTTTTAATCTCAAAAGGTTCAACATAAAAGAAACTAACACGCTTCCTTGTAAAAAGTCTAACCTGTGCATCTGGATCCAAGGCAAAAAGTTTAACTCTGCTTTCACTTTTCAACTTGATTTCTGCTTCTCTGGTACTCTGTTCAAAATAAGAAAAAAAATCTTAGCGTGACTCTATTAAATTAAAGTGCTTTTCAATTTCTTTACTTTTTCTGTGATGTTCAAAGCTTTACATGTTTTTAGTTCAGGCACTCCTCTCCCTAACTGAGTTTTGCAATGCCCTTGTTTAAATTGCTCCGTCATGCCTGAGTAAAAAGTGAAAGACGACTCCTCTCCTCTAAAGGCTTTTCCAGGCCTAGAAACACAAAAACTTACATCACAACACGTAACCTTCCAAGCTCACGGGAAGTATACTCCAGTGTAGCTCATACAGCACTTTGCCTCCTTAAACAATAACTTTCATAATATTATTTTATTTTTTTAAAAAAAAAAAAAGTATGAATGTAGGTTAAAGCTCAGAACTATCCTGAGACCAGAAGATTGCTCAGGAAACAACAGTTACCTAAATTAAGAAACATCATCATAGCTCTCTTTCTTTTTTCTTTTTCTTGTTTTGTTTTCGGGGTTTTTTTTCCCCTTTTCTTAAGATCTACTGCCAAAGAAGTGGTTTTCCTGTGGGTAGGTGGAAAAACCCCCAAAACTTCCAAAAGATAAACCCTCTCACACTTCAAAGTTACTTTGCAGCGTACGCTGTACACTGATCCTGCCTGGGATTGGTGCATAACTACCTATTAACAGTAAAACAAAAGTAAAGTGGAACAAAATAGAATGTGAGAACTGATGGTATACATAGGTTAGTTTTTCAAAAAAAGCTATTATCTAAAGAGTATTCTATGATTTTGTCACAGGACACGACAAACGGACATATGCACGCGCCAAAATTACCCATGTAGGAGAGTTGCCATTCCCAAAGTAGTAGCTGGCTAAACAGGGGTACAAAGTATTACATTACAGACAGGTACCTATTTTTGGATGAGGCTGTATGGGTTAAAAGAAGTTACCAACCCAAAATGCTCATCATTGACTGTCAGCTGGAAGTGATCTACTGCCTACATCTGCTTTGCTAGAGGTTGAAGAAACCCCTACTATGTCTCAAGAAAAAGAAAAAAAAATAAAAATAAAAAGAAAAAGAAAACCCAAACCAAACCCCATCAGCTCTAAGAGCTCAAAATCCTATTATAAGGTTGATAATAATAATAACCCCCCAACAAATAATTTGACTTAAAGGATGCATTACAAAAGAGGAACTTCTGAGATGTGATTTTGAGTATAGATGTTCTATGGATTTCATTTACTTTACTTTCTTATCTTTAACACACACAGGAGAAAGGACGAGAGTTGCTGTGAAAGACACGACCCAGACACTCGATACCAGCAGAGTATTGGCAGACTTTGCTTGTTCAACAGCCGGTATGACTGATAAATACAGGACTAAACTGTGAAGAAATTTAAAGATGGCAAGAAAGCTGCATGTATATTTTGGAAAGGGAAGATGATCTAGTCACAGGAGCAAGACAGAAACTGTTTCATCTAAAACATCTTGAACAGTTTTAGATTCTTTGGCTACACTAAAGACAGAACAAAAATATGCATTTTTGACTGACAGATCAGGGGCAGTCAGTCAGAAGTCAGGAACTGAAAACGTATATAGTCACTGACCCTGTCTACAGCACAGCAGTGACTCTGTAATTCCATTTCCTTATCTGTAAAACAGGGACCACGTTTTCCTCCCTCAAGGAATACTGGGACTGTAATGGTTAAGGAGGTACTTGGGCACACTGATCATGACAGTCACATAGTTATTTAAGGTAGAAATCTAATTTGTTTTCTCTGAAGATTAAAAAACAAAACCAAAAAGCCCAAACCCCCTACATTCACTCTTAGTACTTAAGCTACAGACAAAAGGAACATGAACTAGGCATGACAGACCAAGGTATATATGTGCACACCTGTGCACTGAAGTGCACAGTTTTATGTTTTAAACTAACAGATGTTGATAGAAAAATGAAGACTTGGAGATGTACTCACAAGGTTAAACCTTTCCTAGGAAGACTGTTTTTCCCCTATTGTCAGGTGCTCTACAATCACCCCTGAAGGGATTTCTCTTTCCTCATAAGGATATGAGGTCAGCTATTGTGAAAACCTCCTCCTAGAACCAACAAAAATAATAAAGCAAGTATAAACTCTTCCAAAAGAAGGCTCAATGCCTTGTTAAGTCTTCCACCGGGGAAAAAAAGAACCAAACCCAAATAACAGCTGAAAAGACAATCCAAGAAAGAATAGAGGACAACAAAAATCCTTGAAACAAACAGTATTTATATAAAGTAATCAAGTTAAGGCATAAACATGGTACTAATGCAAACGGGCAGATTTTTCCCTGAACTTCTCCTCAGGGAAAAATACATTAGAGCAAATTATTTTGAAAGGTAGTATTTGGTAAAGATGAACTAGAACAGGAAAACCAAAAAACTTATTTTGAAGGAAATAGAAATTTAAATGGGTTATAACCATGCAATAAAAAAACCCCAACATGAGTGCTTAAAGAGCTGAGAGAAATAACATGCTAGAAAAAGAGCTTAAAGAGCTGCATGCTTCGGATCAGAAGGTTATGGAAACAGGAAGCAGTATTTGTATAAAAGTAAACCTATATGCTGGTGCTGCAGCCCTGAATAAAAGTCCCCTCAGGAAGTCATATGGAACCTAAGCATTCCCATAACTCTGACTATAAAGAAAGAAAAATCTTCCATATAATAAGAGCATCTAATTTTATATTTCTTTCTGAAATGAATCTTCATAGCCTCATGTAAGTATGCTGTTTGATGCTTACAGGTCTTCCAAGGAAACTTTGATTGTATGCACCACAATCCCAATTAATTTCCAAATACAGCTGTAACTGGAGTTAGATTATCATGTAATAATTTTTTGTGTGCATGTGCTAAGTTGATTACAAAGCAGTAACAGAAAGAATTAAGTCAGCCAACTAGTTTGAGTGCTAAAAACCTGTTAATGTATTCTGACTGGATCTTCTGATATGTTAGCTATTGTAACAGATAGAATTTGTTTTGCTCCTTGTTCTCAGTTTATAAGCTGCCCTACTCCCTTCAGGAGTAGTTACTAGGTCAGACAGATCCTCAGAAGAGAAGGGGAGAACATTCCAGAGCACGGTCAAGGAAAAAGTTTCAAGACTGCAGGCTGTGTCACACAGAAGAAAAAGGAAGTCACAGGAAGGAGTTTGGATCCTGCAGCTTCCCAGAAAAAGGTCACTAGCACCAGTCCTTAGATAATTTAAGAAAAATTTCTCCCTTAGAGAACTTATTGCAATACAGAAGTCACTGATTTAACCGAAATAAAGTCTACAAATGAACTGATGAATAGTTACTGTTATTTTCTATTTATTTTTATTTTATTCTTATTTCTATTTCTACCACACCTCTGTAAGAACAAAATTGAAAAGCAAGAACTATGGCAATACAGTAAGTACCCATGAACTTGCCAGCTAGTTACAAAAACAAGCATCTTAAAATACATTCACATCATCACTGCTACTAAGCTGCTCTGAACTTCTAACTATAAAAGTAACACTTGACTTTACTATAACTAGATTTTTATAGAAATATTTTAGCACTTACCTGCATGCCATAAAACAATAGAAAATATGCAAAATACAATAAACGAATAAAATAATACAACATGCTGCTTTTAAACAACATGTCAAGATCTATACAAGCAACTTTAAGACAATGGGTAGTTTGCTTCAAAAAGCAGAAAATTAAGAAGCTCAATAACCAAGCCTATTCACAAAAGAGTTTCTAAGCTTTCAAAGCACCACAAACTGCCTCGAAGCCAAAAGCCAATACCTTACCTTTACTGAAAGTTCATGTGGCTAACTTATGTTTAGTATTTTATATCCTGAGTTGGCATTTACAATATATATTACCTTGGCAATTTCAGGATAGTAGTTATCAAAAATACTTGAAGAACTTTCCATTTTGCTTTGTTCATCATCTGAAATTACAAAACCACATTAAAAAAAAAAAAAAAAAAAACAAACCACTCACAAAACTCTGTAGCAAAAATATTTATTTCCTTTTTTTCTTAACTCTTACCCCCTCAAAAACTACCATTTTGAACAGAAACAGGTTGTAGATGACTCCATCATTTCATTTTGATGCAGTGACTTCTTGGAGGACGTAACCAGTTACACAAATTGGTAAAGTAGCAGTTATTTCTAAACTTACCCAGAAAATAGCTTTAATATTCATTTTGATATGTTCATAGGGAAAGGGGATACTGAATGCACAAATTTACATTACTCCTTCCACTATGCACTGTAACTTGATTTCAAAACAAGTTCCCCCTGTTCATTAGGTTCCCAGCTCTACTCTCCAATGGTTACTGAATTTACAAAGCAACCATTCAGTACAAAACATCTTACGGTTCTAAGGTCAACTGCGGAGCACTGACTAAAATGTCTTTCACAAAGCTACAGACTTCTCTTTTTTCCAATGTGCTTTCATTGCAAACATCACATTAAATTCCAGCCACCTTCACCAAAGACTTTGATATCTCATTTTAAACTCTAATGATCCCTTTTAGTATATTGTATCTATAAGCAGAAACACCTTCTGTAACCTCTTCCAGGTTCTTGTGGATACGTACACACTTCGTCTCATACCAGTTGCCCTCCCCCCATCCACTCTCAAGAGGAAAAATGTACAAGAGGACATCTAGATTATCCTTTTGTCATCAAACTATCAACTATACCTACATCCCATTCCTTATCTGCCTTACCTATTATTAAAGGGCTCCAACAGAAAAGATTCTACACCCAAGCAATCTATTTCAGTACTTCAGCGAAGTATCTGCGGTCAAGGGAGTTACATCTAAATTTAAGTCCCTCACTGTAACCACAATTTCTTATTGTTCTACCTACAGTGACCACAAAACAAATTATTCCATTTTCAGCAGCATTTTACCGCTGGACATTTCCAAACAAGTTCCTCCTAAGTTTTCTCTTTTCCTTAAAACTGTCTCGGTCCTGATTTTTCATTCTGGGTTCTATTTTTCTTTACTTCTGATCAGTCTTGTTATTCTCTTCTGGACTTAACTCAACCGGAATCAATATAGAACAGTGCTATTTTAATGCCAAAAGGTCAAAACGCTCATCAGTTCAAACACACAGTGAAAAAGTCTATAATTTTTATGACCAAAGAGGACAAAAACTTCAGCCACAGTAAAGCCTTTCTTTCCAAATGCATGTACGCAGGCATTGTCACATAACTGTATTAGCATTGCTAGAAACCCTCCTTACCTTCGTGAGACTCTCCATTTCTTTTTTCTTGCATTGCAGCCTCAAAGTTAAGCTGAAGGATTTTGTTCAGAGTGTTTATCCATTCTTCCATTTCAAGTTCACTATCTGCAGCTAAAAGGTAACTACTCTTGTCTTGCATCTTGAGTTCAAATGCAAAACGTCTGACTTTATTGTTCTATAAGAAAATAAAAGATCTTTATAATATCTTCACATACTGTCTACTCATAATCAGTTATGTGTATTTCAGATCTTTTAACAAAAATATACAGTTTGATATTTTGAACAAGTGTATTATAAATACACTTTTTCCTCTCTGACATTTGACCTTTTGAAGTTATTTGTACCCCTGCAACCAATGGAAGCATGAAGGATAACAGCCCAGTTTTCAGTTTCCCCTCATCTTTCCGCCTGTAATCATTTTTAAAAAACAAAAATCCAATTTCCAAATATCATGTCTTCATGTACTCAGGTCATCTAGAAGTGAAGCTAACTAAGATATACTGATTAAAAAAAAGCATGAAACTATTATTTGAGTGAAAATCATTTGCACGTTGGGATTTTATACCCGAGGTTAAATAACAACTAACCTCAACACTGAACACCCTGATATTGCTAGTCTCTTAAATATGCATGAAGTTGGGAACCATTTCCTCCTTTGTTCCTTAATCATTATTGCCATCCTTTCTGCACAATGGAAATCAAGGCTTCAAATGTTACTGAGCTCGACTCATGTTCCTAGAAATTCACAAGTCTTAAACAAAAATCATATATTATCAACAATTTACTCTTAAAAATTTGATAATTCATTAAATAAACATTAAAATAAACAGTAAGACTTAGTGGTTGGGGGACTTCTTGTTTGTTTGAAGTTAAATTAAATGCCGAATTACATTTCAGTTCCACTATATCTCAGATTTTTCAATTAACAGACTAACTTTCACAGTATAAAACCTCGACACAGGTGGTACCTATCACACTTCCCAGTTTTCCCAAATCACTGAACTAGAGCAACTATGCCTATATATCTGACTGCACGTGTGAATATATACACTGCATACATTATGTGACTGCACTTCTCTGTGATGCAAAAAAGTCTCAATATACTTCAGTATTAAAAACAAAACGAAACAAAAAAACCCAGACCAAACAGTATTTTGGGAATTCCTGCCTTTCCATTGAACTTAAAAAAGTCTGGGGGGAAAAAAAACCCCACCAAACAAAACCCAACCAACCAACCAAAAGACCCCACAATCAACTAACCACAAAACCCAAAACCAAACAAAAAACCACAAACAAACAAAACCCTATTGCACATAGTCAGCAAGCATTCCTCTTATACAAGTACTGATGAAGGAGCATATTCTGCTCTATTCAACTTTACCATAGAATCACAGAATAGTTTGGGTTGGAAGGGATCTTTAAAGGCCAACTAGTCCAACCCCCCTGCAGTGAGCAGGGACATCTTTAGCCAGATCAGGTTGCTCAGAGCTCCTTTAATGTCTGTTAGTGAAGTCAGCATTTTTCTCTCCTGTGTATCTATTGTCTTTGAAAAACAACTAAGCATAACATAGAATCATAGAATCAGTTTGCTTGGATAAGACCTTTAAGATCATCAAGTCCAACAATTATCCTAACGCCATCAAACCCACCACTAAACCATGTCCCTAAGCACCACATCTATACGTCTTCTGAACACCTCCAGGGATGGTGCCCCCCCCCCGGCCCAGCCTGGTCCAAAGTCTAACCACTCTTTCAGTAAAGAAATTTTTCCTAATGTCCAATCTAAATCTCCCCTGGTGCAACTTGAGGCCATTTCCTCTTGTCCCATCACTTGTTACTTGGGAGAAGAGACCAACACTCGCCTTGCTACAACTTCCTTTTAGGTAGCTGTAGAGAGCAATAAGGTCTCCTCTCAGCCTCCTCTTCACTAGGCTAAACAATCCCAGATCCCTCAGGTGTTCCTCAGAAGACATGTTTTCCAGACCCCTCACCAGCTTCATTGCCCTGTGTACTAAATGAACTCAAAACAGAAGTGAGAAACATCATATGAATGCAATAGGAACTAATCCCTCCTCACCAAAAGGACTTACTCCAAAACAAGTAGTTTCGTTCTGGGAACAAATGTTGTAAGCACATCTAGCTAAGAACAACAACCATTTCTATGAATTCCAAGTACCATAAAGTGCAGCGGCTGGAGTCCTTACAATTTTTAATTTTATTTTATTCTTCCATTAAATGGAAATGCAATTTCTACTGTGTAGAGACCACTTTTTCCCCCATGTGAGTTTCTAGATGCTAACACAACACCAGGAATAAGTAACAGTAAAACAATGAATAAAATAAGATCAGCCAAAGAGGATATAGTACATAATATAAAATAATAAAATCACTCATCTGGAATAGGACCATTATATATAATATTTTATAGTTCAAAATCTCATTTACTTCCCCTCACGAACAATTCAAGTGAAGAAAACAGCTATTTCCAAACCCCTTTATTCTAGCCATTGAATGCCTTCTTGGCTTCATAGAAGAGAGCATTAACTGCTCTTGGTTTTCCACCTGATGTTGAGCATAACTAGTCTCAAATTTCTACATGCAGTTCTGAGCAGATGCCAAGACATTTGCTGATGGTACTGTAGAACACAGCATAGCATTCAAGACATAAGCATCTGAAGTACAGTTTTACTTAAAGACTACTGCATCAGCCCAAAACCTTACTTGCAGTAGAACAACGGAACAGTAATTAAAAAAAAATATATTTAAAGCTTCCGACAAAGTCTGAGGAAATTTCAGTTTACTTGAATTGAACTAATCGAACGGGACTTCACGAAAAGATTATTCAGAAAAAAGGGGATTTCCAGGGTTACAAACCCAAAAACATAGAATCACAGAATGGTTAGAGGTTGTAAGGGGCCTCTGGAGGTCATCTAGTCCAACCCCTCTGCTCAAGCATGGCCACCTAGAGCCAGTTGGCCCAGGACCATGTTCAGATGGCTTTTGAGTATCTCCAAAGACGGAGACTCCACAGCCTCTCTGGGTAACCTTTGCCAGTGCTCAGTCACCCTCACAGTGACAAAATGTTTCCTGATGTTCAGAGGGAACCCCCTGTGCTTCAGTTTGTGCTCATTGCCTCTGGTCCTGTGACTGGGTATCACTGAGCAGAGCCTGGCTCTGTTCTCTTTGCACCCTCCCTTCAGGTATTTATGTACATTGATGAGCTCCCCTTGAGCCTTCTCTTCTCCAGGCTGAACAGTCCCAGCTCTCTCAGCCTCTCCTCATAGGAGACATGCTCCATCCTCCATCCCTTCACCACCTTCAAAGCCCTTCGCTGGACTCTCTCCAGTATGACTATGTCTCTCACTTACTGGGGAGCCGAGAACAGGACACAGGACTCCAGGTGTGGCCTCACTAGTGCTATTCAGCTGCTCAGAGTGAAAGGACCACCTCCCTCATCCTGCTGACAACACTCATCCTAATGCACCCTAAAGTCACCGTTAGCCTTCTTTGCTGCCAGTGCACACTGCTGGCTCGTGTTCAACTTGGTGTCCACCAGGACCCCCAGGTCCTTTCCTGTCAAGCTGCTTTCCAGCTGGGTGGCCTGTCCAGCATGTACCGGTGCCTGCAACTGTTCTCCCCAGCTGCAGGACTTAGCACTTCCCTTTGTTGCAGTGTCTTTCTTTCATTTGTAACTTCTGAAAATCTCAATGTTTTCTGATAATGCGAACTAATACTGTAGTGGCCACAATAGTCTCTACCAGAGCCACAGGCTGAGAACCAGAAACAAGCCATCACCCAAGTGGGAAACAAAAGGGGTCAGAAACAGCACAGAAGATGGAGAATTTCTATTATCAGAGAGAGGGGCACCAAAGCAGAGGAAGCTGAGAAGGAGAAGGAAAGATATATTTTAACTGCAAGACAAAGACTGTAACTGTGTTTAGGAATCACTTTGTTTGTTTGTTGGTTTGTTTTAAAAACACAAATCAAACTCTTTTCAGTGGAGTTGGCCAGAATTGCAACCCTAAGGCAAAACAAAAATCTGTGTAAATCTGTACACAGAACTTGCAATATGATTAAATTTATTACAGTTACAAGACTTTGCATGTGAAGTATCTATTACACGTGTATCCAAAAACATTATTACAATATCTGGAAAAAAATAATCCTCTGTAAAGCTGTTGTAGCTCTCTGCATAAATCTTGAAACAACTTCATGCTCAAAAAAAATATTATTTAAGAAATACTTTTTTCTTAAACTTTGCCTATTTCTACCCAAGTTAACAAAATCCTAAAACCCAAGAGTTTTTTCCAGGTATGCTGTGCCTAACAAAACAGTTACATGATGTACTGTAAATACATAACAGAGTCACAAGGAAAAGAAAAAAAAATTCTTTTCTTTGGCACTTGCTACTACAAACAAATTTACCAAAGCCCTTAACTTTCTAAAACAAAGAAAAGCACAGAAAGTAACATTATAAAGGTCAAATGAAAGCATCTGGAAGGGTGACTGAATTTAATACAATTCCCACAACAAAAATCCCACACAAGAAGCTAGCAAAACATTTTACAGCTCATGTAAGCACAAAATGTAACTGAAATGAACTTTAATTTTATGCTGTTGTTACTTTGCCATGATTTAAGGTTGGGGTTTTTTGTGTGTTTGCCTTGAAATTTTGTTTGATATTTTTGATAAATACTTGACATCAACTAGTAACTTATGTTCTTTTCAGGAAGATTTTTTAAATTCAGCCTCCTGCCCTTTAAAATCTCATTCACTGTTTTTGCCAGATGCAGCGTGTCTAATTGTTCCTCAGCATACTTATCCACATCTGACAAAAGTTACCTGTATTTTTAAAAAATCCACTTGCTATCAACTACAGAATTAACTGGAGAACAGGCAGAATAATTATAATTACCTGAACCACTCCCATACATGAATCTAGAAATATCGATCCCTTGGGTTCTTTTGATATTTTTTCATCTTTGTAGAAATTGAGATTATAGGATCCATCACCAAGTTGGATTAAGTGGAAAAATCTTCTTTTGAATGACTAGTGAAAAGAAGGCAAGAAAAAGAATTACAACACTAGTATTAATCAGCTTCATATTACAAAACCTGTGTTATTACACAGTAGGTTATAGAAAAAAGCTTTTATTTACACACAACTTAATCAGTATCCTCAGAAAATAAAACAGAAATGATTAATTAAAAAAAAAAACCTGAAAAACCTGCAGCAACATTGTACCGTAATATCTGAAAGCATTTTTGACCTATTGAAAGGTATTTAAAACTGAATCTATAATATTATATCTCATAGACATGTATTGTGATAACTATGAAAATAACTTGTTTGTTTCTAAATAAAGAGGCAATATAAAATAAAACTTCATATTACATAGTCCCTTTTATACTAATAACACACCAGGGTCCAGTTAAGAAAATTATTTAAAACACTGGACTTCTCCCACATACTGGATTTTTAATGTATTTTTTCTGATTTAAGTAGAATAAAAGGAAAGTAAGATTTCATAGCTATAAATTACATACAAGCATCCCTCTTTCATCCCACACTTATTTTTTTTAGAAGTAAATCACATATAAATTGACTTCGCAAAAGCACAAATGATACTTAATATTGGTGCTCAGTTTTTTACCAAGCATTAAGACATGCTTTAAACTTACTCTCATTGTCACACTGATGGCACTATTCATGTTGCCTTTATACAGCCATCCTTGTTTTGTTATCCCACCCTTCTGCGACCCAAGAGATGCTGCGTCCTGCAGATGAAGAAAGGGAGATGGGGGGAGAAAAAAAAATAAAAATTTTTGTATCATAGTCTGAAACTGCTGTATTTATTGAAAGTTTCAGAAGTCATTTTAAAAAGATGGAATAGCTATGCTCATAATTGAATGATAATAATGTACTACGAGTCCCTGACAAAATTAGCTTTCTAATTCCAATTATTTTATTTAAAGACAAGGGATGAGATCGACCTCATCTAACTGTTGATAGGTAACCTGGCCAATTGTATAGGCTTTCTCGATGGCCAGCAGGGTGATCCAACAAGACAGCTAAATATTAGTCAAGATAAAGTCCACTGAAACAGAGGAAGGAGGGAGAACTCAAAACATTTACTTACATTTACTTTGTAAGATTTTTCGTATATTCTAATCTCCCAGTGCAAGAATTTTTACCAATTTCTATTACCAAAAAGAATGATGTGAACTCATGCTTACCCAAAACTTTAACTGAGATTTCTCAAACCATTTTGCTTTACAAGTATTACTTGAAAGACATTACTTAAGAATTTACAGAGAACTAATCCTTGAATTGGATCTGCCCTTTTACAGATCAGAATCAAACCTATCTAAGGAGAACAGGATCAAACTTGGCAGTAATGCCAAGTTCACAAACAGCAGATCCAATGCATGCATCACACATCCCACCCCCTGCCTGTACACCACTTCCATCTGCCAGCTGGTGGAACTTAATAGCTACATCAAAACGCATAGGATGTTAACAACTACCAAAAAGCAGTAGGCTACTATCAAAACTGATCAAAATGAGAGATATACAATTGCCACAGAATAAATATTAAATCACCAGTTCCGCTAATCTTTTAGAGCGGTACCAAGCTGACTTTACCATGGTTTCCAGTCGACATAACAACAAAAACATTAACGAATTAGACGTGTAGGAAGACTTTCAACCATCTAGAGGAGAAATACCCCTGACAATTTATTATCCAAACACAAACATTCAAAATTATTTGCGTATCCAGTTGAAAACAAAACCACAAAACCTCCTCAAGTGTCTCAACTACTTTTTCTAATTCCTTTTCTCAGCTATTAAGAGAACGCACAACAAAAAGTGATTATGTATGGGGGACAGAGTCATTAGTTCAATAGCTGAATATTAAAATCACATTTTTGAAGTATTATGAACCAGTTTCTGGAACATTCTGTAAACAGTCACCAGTTAATTTATTAACAGCTTATTTAGTCTGTCTAGCTTGCATATTCATATACATATGCACATGTGAACTCAAAAAAACCTGTAAACAGAAGGCAAAAGATGCACCAATCTGTTCCTTCAAAAATTCTAGTCAGCTCGATACTATGGAAGTAAGGCCCAGTAAGGATGACATGGTCACCAACTATCAGAGCATCTGATATGCCCCAGAAGCACCAACCACAGTAAATTTTCATATGCCCCAGCGAGTCTCACTGTCCAAGCAATACAGTCTATTTGTTTCATATTTTCAAGTCATTAGCCCCTGCCCATGTTCTGCTACCTAGATAGCCGTTTTTCTTGTACGACAATAAAGATACAGACAATAACTTAAAACACTGGGTTTCTAACTATGATTCTCTACCTCCACTGGTGGGAGTTATCCTCAAAGAACAAATAGTTTAAAACCACTTCTGCACGCGTAAGATAAGCAGATTATGAGTTATCATCAAAACTTGGCACAAAACCACCAATGCTTTTCTGCAATTTCACAAACACTACATAGGATCACGTGACATGACAAGAATTCCTTCATTACCTGTGTTAACAAAAATTAAGATTTAGCTCTATTAAGACCCTTCTTCCAATTCCAAGTCTCTGAGGTGCACTGTTTCCCAACTCTGCTGAGCTGCATGCTGTTTTCTAACAGTAAAACTGACTGTCATTTGGGCCTCTAGTTACACCATCTCTTTCTGTCAGGCAGAATTACTGCCTACAGAGCCAAAAAGCTACTGAATCTTTCCAGTTGACCACCTGTTAATACAAAAGAACCCAGAACCCAGTTGTTAACACATGACTTTTACACTGAAAACATATTTCCTGGTTCCAACTGCTAAGTCAATTTCCTCGCTTTTATTATTATTGCTGCACACTGTGCTTCATTTTTTTTTAATGATCTTTCCCACAAACTCGGCTCCAAAATTTACTTCAACAGCAACTGTTTCAACAAAAACAATTCCTTATCTTGATCCCATACCCCTGTCTGATTTAAAAATTCCGTTTACAAACATCAACCTGATGGCCTGATAGGCCAAATTAGTTTTGGAAAGGTAATTCTCTCCTTTTTAATGAGGCAAGAGTATAAACTAATCTTTATCTGGTTTTCCTTCAACTCTTAATCACTTGCAGCTTTTTGTTTTCTATCATGCTCTTAATAAATCAGCTTTCTTAAAAAAACCCCAAAACACCACACAAACAAGAGCAAAATAAAAAGATGACCAAACAACTTTTAATCTAAGATCTGCATATATGCTTTTTGGCATACAAAAATGTTAATGTTTGAAAGAAAAACCTCTTGTATTAATTCTTCTCTTGAGGAAAGAATTTATGGTCCTCCCCACTCTATTTCCATTAGGCTCCCTTTTCTTCCCAGCATGCTTTCTTCTTGTGTTTATATTTTCAGTTCCTCAAAGAGTAGCAGATCTCTTCTCCAGTGACTGTACCTCTGAGAGAGGTATGACGTTCCTGCCTGCACTAACAGGAAACTGGGCAGAAGGAAACAGGAACTCCTCTCCACTTGCACTTCCTAGTAAAACACGTACCACCTGATAATAGCCAAGCTACAGTTTTTCAGTGTTTAACTAACTCTAGCCACATTTCTCCTAGTAACAATCACAGTCAATTGTATCTCAATTTAATTTACTTAATGTTTAACTCACTTCTAAAACACCTTTGTTGTCACAAATATTATCACAGTAAATAATGCCAAGTGTTTTTAATTTCAGTATAACAGAAATCATAATTATTCCCATTTTACAAGAGGAAGATTTGGATTCAGATGCATGAAATTATTTGTCCAAATATCACAGTGCAGATTAGCAGCAGTGCTGGAGAGATGGCATCCTGTGGCTATCTATCTACTCAGGAATCTGCCTATTCAGATGCACTCCCTGAATTACTTCTTCACATTTAATCCAGGAAAATTTGTAAGGAACTACTTTTACGTCATATTCAGCAGTTCTGAATATGAGGAATTTAGAAGTAAAGTAACTGTCAAAGGGTAAAAACCACAAAATCAATTTATTTTATTTTAATTCTTTTCTGTGATCTAAGAGTTGAAGTACTTACAAAAAGAAAACACTGGTATTTAAACATTGTGTTTGGAAACAGGGCGTTGTAAAAATTAAATAAATCACACAAATAACAGAAGCAGTTACTGAAAAGAGTCTTTGACATTTGAAACAAACTTGAAAACTGCTTGAGGCTGTGATCTCTGGCTCTCCTAGGCCAATGGCAAAAAAAAAATACCTTAGATTTGAGTTGACTTTTTTAGCTTTTCATAGAATCATAGAACAGTTTCGGTTG